AGAAATTCCCATAAAAATCACATCTGATTAGAAGGTAAATCCAGCAGGACAAATACTGGTCTAACCAGACATATGAAGCAATTGTTACTATACCTGCCATTCTAAAGAAGATAGAGGGGGAAAAAACACAAAACACCTGGAGAAGGCTACAGGGTGCGGTCCGGGAAAATATACTGGACCATAAATCTATCAGCAGGGGAAGTGAATGATCAACAGTAGGGGGAGGATCCACAAACAAATACTATTCTCTCACACCGTGCTATACAAAGTCACGTCAGGCTCATCTGATGGGCGAACATGCTGACACAGGCTGGATGTAGCTCATACTGCTGAGCACTGTTGTCTTTACCTCCTTTAACAGTGTCATATTTATCAACACGAGCTGAGCAATAGCAACTTCCTGCTTCTGACTGGCACATTAAAAGATTCAAGTTCCTCTCATGAGTCTGAGTCTAACACTGCAGTTGTCATGTAGTACTCATGATTTATAGGCTGGGAATTCAGGCATTAGGAGTGGTGATGAGTAAGTAATGAGGTTAATTCTCTAAGGTATACCTCATATCTTTTTTAAGGTTTTTTTTAAGTGCAACATTTACAAAACCAAAAAGTCGCCCCCTTTATTACACAAGAAAACTGAGCTTCAAATAATTTTCTGTAAGCCAGGCTTGTGCTGATTGGCTGCCTCTCTTAAACAAAAGGTTTAAATAGCAGGTGGGCAGAGCTGGGTTCCAATGATTATTAGAACAAAATAAGGTCTTTATTTGCTATTTTGGTTTCTTTTACAGCAGTAGATGGTTAACCATCCTCCTTCACTGTTCATTAACTGAACTAACAGGGAGCCAGCAGTAATTAGGATCTAGATAAACCATCACAAAGTTTGATTGGGGCAATCTGTGGAGAGATTATTAATGTTTGTATGTTGTTGTGTTTGTTTTCTATTTAAATAAACATTTAATAATCAAGGAAATCCCCAGTTATAATACATGTTTAAAAATGTTATTAAATTAATCACACAGTTATCATGCTAAATAATCAGGGCAATATTGAATGAGACAACTGTAATTAAGATTTTTGCCATAACTGAGCAGCCTCAGAGGTGGGCGGGGCTTCTGTACTCATGACCATACAAGGATATGCAGTTTCAGTGACATCATATAGATCCAAGAGTATAAAAAGTTGTCTCATCCTGCTTGTTTATGATTAGTTATTCATTATTTGAAACTCTGGCCATGTTTAACCTATTATACCAGTATACATAAACCACAGAAAACAAGGTAAAGCATAATAGGCTCCTGCTAAATGAAATGATTTAAAAACTACAGATAATGAGTCTAAAAATTTAATAAAAAAGGTTTGAACTTGGATTCTAGAGATTTCTTTTGCTCACATTGGGTAAGCTGTTGTGTGTTCACATCATGTAGAGGATGGAAAATTCATTTGATAAAATAAAAGTTAAAAAAAAAAAATCGGGCAGAAAGACGCAAAGGAAATCTGAATCAACTGCAACAAAATGAATCAGTGAAAAAACAAGTACCTACTTCCTTCTTTGTTTTTTTTAAGATTTCAGATGGATGCAGATTTTCAGAAAACCATTTGGATCCCGGCCTTTTCCAGTTCGGGAATAACTGATCTAGTCAAATATCATATCTCTGAATTACCCCCCAATTCTTAAAAATGTGGAACTTCCATGTGGGAGCGCCTACTGATACCTGACCCCACAGGATATTAACTTATTCAAGGTCAGCTGAAACGGGTAAGTGAAGACCCAACTGCTGACATCCATCCATGCATTACTCAAGCACAACGCTACCACTGTCAGAGCAAAGTGTATTAGATCATCCGTACAATCAAGACAAACCCAAAGATGTTCCAAATAAATATGACAGCCTAACAGAAGCAAGCATAATCCAGTTATCTAAATGACAAAACCATTCACCCAACAAGAACTGGGAGCCTTTCTTCACATTTTCACCTTTTTGGCAGCTCCATAGTGTATTTATTTCCAGTCTCAAAGGGACATGACGTTCAATAAATCAAGTGATATTCCTGCAGTGATGTAAAGGTTTTACAAAACATTTGACGGCAGCTCATAATCGGACTAATTATGGAAGAGTCAGAAACTGCCGGAAAACAGCGCACAGTGAGCCTACAGTCTGAAAGCATGATTTGAATTAAAGATGAGCTGCTTTAGCTGTCCAGTGTCAGCGTCCTGGGGACTGGGGTGGGATTAGCCTTGTGTGTTTTTTGAATGAGACACACAGAACGACTGGTCAGCATGACATTTTCCCGACAGAAACGCCATTCACACACTGAAAAGGTGGATGTGTGCAGGCGTGGGTGTAGAGATAAAGCTTCCTCCGGCCTGACTGCTACATCTCTTTTCCCTGGTTGGCCGTCCAGAATCGGTCCATCACTCTTTATTTGTCGTCCTCCTCTCCGTTTAAACTCAAGCTTATTAAACGTCACTTTGTCGTAAACCAAATGAAAAACGCCACTCTTGATTGATCACTATAAATGGGGAGGCTATGTAGTGCTGCTACTGTTTGTACTGTTACTGTAAGTATCACACTTGGTGGTGGAGCTGAAGATAGAACTGCACTCAAACTGGACTTCCTCGTTTTCTAATTCATACAAACACACATAAATGTGCCATTCATTTCAGCTGCTATACAGCAGATTTTAAAATGAAAAGGCATAGAAAACATAGGAAAAGCAGAATTGGTTCTATTGCTGCTACCAGCAAAAGAAGTACTTTTTACACATAAATAACATTTTCAACATAACAAACCAGATTTAGGCTCAATTGGAGCTATACTTGTGCATCATTTTGGCCAAGATACCAATTTTATGGGCCACTTTATGTCTTTAAGCCTTTCATTATTTCATATATTTTGTCTCCAGAAAGTAACGACATCTTAGATGGTGATTTAAGCTGGCTCTACGAATAAAACCTAGGAGCAAACAGCAGCCTCCAGGACAGAAGTAAGGCATGATGAGTCACGGGTGCAACACTTACAAGGTCGTGCAGGTCTGGGCCAAGTATCACAGTACTGTCCTGAGGCATTTGAGGGAGAACATTTGGAGTAAAGGACCTGAGATGCGGTGTAATGAAATTTGGCACTCCGCTGTAGCAGCTTTTGTCATCAGAGGTGACTGTGCAAAATACACCAACTACACATGAACCCTCCTAGCAGACTTAAGGGAGGTCTAACAGGAATCACCTGCCGCTTGCGTCTGAGGCTGAGGAAGATCCCTGCCTTAGGCATCCTCCCCAAAATAAATGCATTTGTAGAACAGGACTTGCAGGGAGTTGCCACAACTTAGAAGAGGGTGGCAGCCACGTTTAATTTGACGACATATTTACCAGCATAGTTTAATTTTTTTCATTATGTGAGTGTCTTTAGGTCTACCTCAGACACACAGGCTTCCCCTGGGTATACTGACATAACCCCAGTTTCATACACTACCGTCTTTACTGCAGTGAGCACATTCCCCAGATTCTTTAGCTGTAACCATCGCCAGTATTTAAAGTAATCAATTACTACCTCCACACAGCTCAGCGGTGAACACAAATACACATCTTCTCTCAATAACCATCTATTCTCCGATACACAACCAGCAATTTTATACAGAGGTCGCAAACATTTTCCTCAGGGGACACGTCCCCGCTGTAGTTGTAATTACTGTTGGCATGTGGGAAACCGCCACACAGCAGCCAGCGCCCCCTTTTCGAGTCCAGTTTAAGACACCACAGGTCCCAAACTCTCTCGCAGCGGTCTGTGGGCCACATTGTGCATCCTCTTCTCACTCCACACACACTTCCATGAGGAATGAGGGCTTGTGTTAAAGGCCTGTTATGGAAACGTGAAGGGTCATGCATTGCTGGAGAATGTGCAAGCTCCTCATCTCTCACACACACACACACTTTAAGTGGGCAGACAAGAAGAATAGCTCTATTATGTTACAGTATGCTGAGTGTGGAACAAACCAGCTGTGTCTGCAGGACTGTCTGTGATACTGTGTGTGACTTTAGGAGTGCAGTAAGTCAAAGATCTGAAAAGCGACCTTGTTTATTAAGTTCCAGACATGATAAAGCTGAATGTTTATGGTTGTACTTCAATCCTGAGCTCAGCCCAGCCCTAATTTATACAATCTGCAGGGAAAAGACTTGACTTGGGGGTGTGGTGGTCTCATCTGACACCATCTAATCACCACTATGCTGATTACAGTCCCACACTTATGTATTTTAAGAGTGGTTTTGCTGAAATAATCTCCCATATGCAGTGATTAAAATGGATACAATCCTTGAAATTATACATGTCTCTTCATTTTAATGACCTCCTGTAATATAATAACCAACAAAGGACACCTGTTATGAAATCTAATGTAGGTTAAACCTGCTGCTAAAACTGTCAAAAAGGGATTAAGCCACAAATGGGAGGTTGTTATGCAAATATTCCGAAAACTTGCTTGTACACTGACAAAACCCCATTAACAATTCTGATGATTTTATGTTTTCAACTTCATAGTTCGAGCTAAAGGGACACTACAGGGACAGCTCAACATGGTAAAATATAAAGTGGAAACTTGCTCCCGCTAACAAATTCAGCATAAAGAACAATTCACAGGATTGCAGGGTTTGAAAGTGTCTCTGCTCCTTTAAGCTAAAGGGACACAACAGGTGAATAAAATATAAAAGTGGTGGATAAACTTTGAAGGGCTACTTAGTTTTACTTTGGCTATATGCCGGATTTAAGTAAAGCTACGTAAGTGAAAAATCTGTTTGTTTATTTTCTTCTTCATATGAGCATCTCTTAGAAATAAGGGAAATGTAGGTTTGAGAGATTTTTTTAATGCAGTACGGAACGACGCCCATATCTGAATGAGACAGCTGGACTTTAAAGCTTCTCTAACACAGAACAACTTCTTTATAAGGAAAAGCAGCTTACAGGGAGTTTGTGTAGACAGAGTGTGTGTGTGTGTGTGTTCTTAATCTTTACCTTTTTCTCTGTGATTTTTCCGGAGGGTTTTTTGAAGAAAGAGGTCCTGGCCGTGAAAAAGTACTCTTCGGAGTCCTCCTCCAAGCTACTGTAGCCACTGCTCATCGTGCTATTCCACGTCATTTGCGGGAAAAACTTCTCCACTGAGAACCCGCCACATCAAAAAACCACCCAAAAGAAAACAAATATCAGCTCTAAACAAACTCCAGCCTCAGTAAATGGCCAAACCTCCCTCTGTTTCTGTCCGCAGGCTTCGCTGTTCGACCAGCAATGAATGATTTCCTCTTTCAAATCCGCTCAACTCTCTCCCGTTCTTCCCTTCCTCTTCTCCTCCTCGCTTTACTCCACCGGCATAGTCAAAACAACTCAATCAAACCTCTCCATTTATAAACAGAAAATGAAGCTAGTAGCTGCTACGAAGCAGAAATGTCAGCAACTATTACTAATAGACCAATTTCGAAAGTGCTAATGAAGAAATCCCACAAGTTCCACTCACACGCCGTCTGTTAAATGCATGAGTCTGTGTGACAGCGAGGCGAGGCTACAGTAAGACCACTCCCATTAGGTGCGATAACTCCAGCCAGCCAATCCCCTGCCTGACAGTTAATAAAACCTCGCCCAATACAACAGGTTGGCCAATCAGCGCTCCGATGCCCAGTTTGAGTGGCGCGGATCAAAGAATTTGGCAAAATAAAAAAAATAAATAAATAAAAAAAATATATATATATAATTATCTCCTCTCTCTTGTATTTCAAAACAAGCATATTTGTTCTACACTTGGTAATTTTTTTTATTTTATTTTCCTTTTTTGACAGTTGACAGTTAATCTGTGAAAGGATGCTGCATATTTCTAAAAATACTTCAACACAGAGAGCAGATTCCAATTTGCATTTTTTTAGCCTCTTCACTACCTGCTGATATTCAAAATACCCAAAGGCAAAGATAAAGAGCCTTTTTACAGTCTCTCATTTGTTCCTGAAAATGTCACCTAGGAAAACTGTCATTGTAAACCCACAGACTATGCAAAAAAAAAGTCTTAAAAACCCTTTACAGAGAAGAATAAAGTTACCTGCATTCCTAAAGAACACAAAAAAAGTCAGAGGTCAGTCAGTTATGGAGCACTGATCTGCAGCTGGAGCTTTTACATTTTCCTTTCCTCGTTAATCTACCTAAACACTAAAAATAAATAAGAAAAACCCTGTGTCTTACCTCAATCAACAGGTAGAAAATTAACAATAGCTTTCTAAGCATGCTTCTCATGTACCAGCTAGTATCTAAATGCAGGAGAAATAAAAGGCCAGTCGTCATTGGGTGGAACCAGTCTTTACAGCCTTTTAACCCTCTCAGGCTCAAATTAAGTTTTTGTTGCTAATGCACAAAAGAATATCTACAGTGGTACTTCTGAGTAAAAAAAACTCATAAAATATGTATGTGAGGTAATCAGGTTGTTAGCTTTTACTTGTTGCAAATCTGCAACGCCTGCCTTGAGAGGGTTAACTGATTATCCAGAGATGATTTTTCCTGTGATGAATGTTCTAGAAACTCAGGGGGTAGGTATCCTAGTTAAAAGGACATTTATCCCTTCTGCTCTTTTTCTAATTCACTTGAAATAAGGCTGCAGGCAAGAAGATGCTGCCTGACAGCTTTTAAACCCAGTTCAACATCAGTTAAGTTTCCCATTGCAATTACTCTCACTTCAAATTCCTTGAAATACAACTATGATGGCAGAATCCTAACTAACTAAGTTGCTCTAGTATTATCCCTACTAATAACTGTAATATGTAAATTGTATAAATCTGTTGAGGCAAGATGTGATTTGGGGTCAGGAAAAAGTTTGCCCCGGACAATGAGAGGCTCAGAATAAAATCAGCCAAACCCAAATGAGAAGGCTCTGTGGGTGTGTCTTGGTATTACCATAAGACTTGGTCTTTGGTGGAGAGATGGAGCCAGACATTTAATCTTTCACAAAAAGAGTGGATTGAAATGTCACTGAAAAATAAAAGTAGCAAAAAAGTTCCTGTGTTCAATCAGTGTTGAAGGTTCGTTTCTGGAGCCAGAACCTAACAAAGGTCCAATTACAGCGCACCAAAGGCTTTTCTACTTTATATTGTTATAAGCTACTCCATGGTCTCAGGATTTTAAAGGATTTGTGGTTGTACCATACCTATAGCGTAGGTTTATTCCACAGGCAGTTATCAACAGTTATCAATATTTGGTGGCTTCCTTTTTTATGAATTCAGATAAATCTGAAGTTGCAACATGCTGTGGTCCAGTGTTCAGCACCTCCACACTGTATGAAGGTCCCGGGTTCAAGTCCAGCCCGGCCTTTCTGTGTGGAGGCTGTATGTTCCTTTTGTGACTGCATGGGTTCTCTCCTGGCATTTCTCCCACAGTCCAAAGATTAATTTGTAATTTTAAGTATAAAGTGAGTGTGAATGGTTGTCTGTCTGTCTTTTGCCCGGTAATAAACTGGCAGCCTGTACAGGTTAGGCTCCACCCTCCCTTTTGTGACCCTGAATTGGATAAGCAGAAGACGATGGATGGATGGATGGATGGATGGATGGATGGATGGATGGATGGATGGAATCTACTGAACAGTCATCACATGATTACCAGTGTTTTGCTTGCTTGCTTGACCACAAGTAAATTATAAACCAACAGGCTCCCTACACCAAAAAACTCTTTCCTCTTTCCTACAACTTCTCCATGTTCACATGTAGGAACATGTTTATTCTACAGCTATAACCTGCAAGCAATATTAAGATATAGCTATTTATAGCATCCTTTTTGGCTGTTTGTTTTTAATTAAATATGAGTTTCACCAGAAATGAAGCTACAGCCTGTATGCTGCCGTCATTCAGCGTCATAAAACATGTCAGAGAGTAAAATCGTTTTATACATTATGTTCCGCTCAAAGGAAACCTGACCGACAGCTGAGTTTATGTGCTTGTTAAATGGATGGAGTTTCACTCATGTTTTGAGCGGGTGGTGTTAAAGCTGCTTTCATCACCCTACAACTGGAAACTATTATGGAGCAGCGGGGCAATTAATGGACTATGTACCTTCTGTTTTGGGGAGTACCTCCTGGGTACTTTAACTCTGCTGCATGCAGAGTTAAAGATTGTTAACTTCATGCTGTACATTTGTAGCCCACCCAGCTGCAATAAAGGTGCAAAACATCAGCAAAGCAGGTTAAGCATCAGATTGAAATCTACAGTATATCTGCACTAAATCAAGCCTAACCCGCTCACACATGGGAAAAACCAGTGGACAGCTGGGAGATTTTTTAGATATACAGGCTCTAATTTAAAACCAGCGGAGTTAGAGAAGAGACCAAAAATAAATATGGCACATCTGGGGCAGCCAAACCAAAAATACCTTTCAAATTCTGTAGAGATCATCCAAAACACACACAAATACACACAGATAAGCAGATTTGCCACCATGCTGCCATTTACTTCAGTGTATTGGTGCAGAAGGAGTGTAAATAAAGAAAAACATACTTTGGATCAACTTGTGTTCTAATCCTTTATGAATCAAATCAAACGGCCTTGTGTTTTAGCCTAGTCGAGCCGGTCTAGAGGTTCAGGGATTTAAAGCCATCAAGGATTTTTGTTACATGTCATTGTTTATCGCACTTCTTTCCTCATACGATGATTTACTGTTTTACTATCATACAGCAGGTGTGCAATTTACATATTGAGTCATATATGTTAATAAATGCATATATGCTACCCAGCAAAAACAAACTAAAGAGACTGAGGCGTTGAGATTTGGTAAAACCTGTGAGGTCTAAAACACCATCAGTGATAAGTCCTTTAATCCTTAACCCTATCAGAACGTGGTTTGTTCTGGCAAGTAGATAGAAAAAACAACATTTTAAGAAAAAGATCAAGTATCAAAGTCCTTTTTTCTTTCTTCAGAATGCACAAAGAGGTTTGTAAAGCACCAATGTACTCCTCTTTGCATCTAATTACACCTAGCAACGGCCAGAAACCACTTGCCAACCCAAAAACACAATTAAATAAATAGTACAATAGGGTAAATTATATTATTTAGACAGAAAAATAAGATTTAAAAAATGTATAAATAAAGATTAACAAAGTAAAAAGAATACAATAAAAAAAACTTTGCAAAAAGTTGACTATAATACAAATAGAATAAAACAACGAGAGTTGAAGTGAAAGTCACACCCAGGACAAACACTCACAGAGCTCCGTTTATGTGCATGTGTGCGTGTGGTGAATGGTATTAATCTGCTGTCCAGTCACTTTGGCCTGGAGCCAGTCTGGTTACACATTACTGACATTCCAGGAGTAGGGGCAGCTTCTACCTAACATACAGTCACTGTACTGTAACTGTGTGGAGCGATTAGGAGATTAAAGCTTTCCCATGGCACCAAAACGGGCACGGCACTCAATCTGAATAAAAACGCAAGACAAAAATTTCTCCAGGACTCAAATACCTTAAAAATACTTAAATATCAGCAAATGACAGTAACATGAAACTGTCCATATATTAGATTTCCCGATACGTTTATAATATATTTTTGGCAATTTTGTTTAGATTGCGCAGTGCGCATTGACAGGAAATGAGGAAGTGGCATGCGCTAAAAATCCAACAGATTGGGAGTCAAACTGGGAATTCAGCTGTTATTATGCAGCATGCATAATACTGCCTCTACTACTGGGTCAAACCAATTACTAGATAAGTTAGAGGATTATGTACTCCTTTCTGGCCGTCAAGTTAAATCCATGCTAAACCCTTCATAAAGAAATGCATCCTCTCAGCAATTTAATGTTTAGTTCATGTAAGTGTTGAAAAATTAATGAGAGAAAGAGAAATATAATTTGTTGCATGTGTACAGTGGCCTGTTAAACTGGTTTCTATGTTCATACATGACGTGAATGAAAGGTTACAGTTATATAATCATGGATATGATAAAGCAGAGAGGTTTTGGTGGAGGAGTGCTATCAGCTGGTCTGTGAGATGGATGATCTGCAGCACTGCAGGCGTAGTTACACTACATTACATACAGCCTACAGAACTAGTCAGGAAGTATTTGAGGTATTCACCGTCTCTGCATTAATTCAAAAGTAAGCAACAGTAATAATTACATTTATATTAAAACCAGCGTTTATGAAATGCTTTGACAGACAGTTACATATTAGGGCCAAATATATAACAGAATAATGTCAAAGAAAGTTTTTTAAAAAAAGGGAACAAAATATGCATATTTCCAACATAATTAATAAATCTGTTATCCTCAGATTTAAAATTTTATCCTTTTGAATAGCAGGACCCCACCTGAGGATCTAAGGCTCTGCATGGCTTGTGGCCAGACATAGACTTCTTTAAAAGTATGAAAATCTTCAGATCAACTGGGTCAGTTCACATAGGGAGCCAATGAAGAAAAGCCAGGATAGGTGAGATGTACCTTCTAGAGATGTGTCTAGAGTAAATAAAAGCGTGAATTACTTTCTCCAGGTTGGTTCTTCAGAGCATCCATTTCACTTTAGATCTTATTTGGAAGAATCTGGGATGGACAGCTCTTCTTTATATGTTGCTCAAAGTCTAAATCTACTCTGAAGTTTCTTTCATGCATGTGCTTTGATGAATTAACTTCAATATTCTTTCCATGCAACCAAATTCCACATGTTACATTCATTTAACACTGCTACCTTTTTCTGTTTTCATGTATTCACATGACTTTGAGTCTGAATGCAAAGCATGTAAAGCTTTTTAAAAACGTATAGATAAATACTAACTTAATAATAACTGTTCAAGGAAGTGCTGCTTATGTTGCAGAATCACATATTTCCTTTAAATCTGGTTTAAAACACAGTTTAAAGTCTTGATTTTATGTTTTTAGGTGCAGTTTTCTCTTCTAGATGTTTTTACTTTTCTTTAATGTCTTCCCGTTTTGTTTTTTGAACTAGAGCAGAAACATCTACAGCAAAAGGTTAATTACCCATTTTATCAAGCTGTTACTGTAGTTGATAGCATGTAACTGGAGCAGAGGCTTGGCTTTTGTATTTGCATGTTTCATACAGAAACCTGCTTTTTTTTTTAAACTCCATGACTCCAAAGATAAGATGAGAAAGTCTGTTGTGCAGCTGAATGTCAAGTTAAACATTAATCCAGTTCCAAAGTAGGAGCAGGCTCTTGCAGACCCCTGCTTCACCCAGTACCCACATCCCACATGTATCCTGAGTGCTGAGATAGAAAGCAGCACCAGAAGATCAAAGGTGAACTGAAGGCTTTTCATCTAAATAGCAAAGGTTTGCTTGTACATTTGAGTAGCTGTCACTTGATCCCTTGACAGTTAAAATCACAATGCCAGATGACGGTGGTATAAACTCAGAGTTTTGGCAAGCAGCTTATACCACAAACAGCACATTTACGTTGAAATGTGCTGTTTCAACGCCTTCTAGTGGTTTCATGGCATCTACACCTGAGTACAATCCAAGCCTTAGGGAGGAGGTTGGAGAGGATGGACGGGTCAACAAAATGCTACGTTTTTTTTAAAAAAATGGTATATTATATTATATTACATAATATATATATTCTTATGTTAAATTCTTTAGGATTTTTAGCCTCATAGACCAGAAAAACTCACAGTAAATTGCCTTGGGGTTAGCCTTGAACATGGGCCTCTGCGTTAGCCTTGAGGCACACGGGTTCGCTGCTGAAAACAAAACAAAAACTGTTCAACAACTTTAACTGCATTGATTCCATTGCCAGTAAGCAGCACTATAAAATACTGTGGAAGTGTAGGTTAACGGCTGTTGACAGGAATTTGGAAGCAGATCAGCACAACTTCCTGAACCGGAAAAAAAACTTCCAGAAAACTGGATATTGAATGTGCATAGCCATGGGAGCCTGGGGAAAGTAAGGATTCCTTTACGTCTAATGTACAGAACAATATAGCATGGGTACTGACTGCTAATGTTGACTTCACAGGGTGCACGATCGTTGGTACATAGGCTAGAAATCAGGGCACCAGCAGGTAGATGAATGTGATAGGTCAAACTGTGAAGAGTATGTCATATTTAGAAAACCAAGGTGGAAAGAGACAAAGACAAATGAAGAGAGAGGAGTGTTAAAAGTTCCCATGACCTCATTGAGTGAAGATGTCGTCACCTTGTGCAAGTACCTGTTATTTGCACAAACGTCCAGGTGTGTGCTTATTGATTATTTTTGGGCAGGTGGTGGGTGTGTAGCTGTTTCCTAATTTAAAGGCACTGTGAGTTTTAAAGGGGGTGGGCGTGTCTGCTGTAAAACTAGAGAACTTCTGTAAAAGGGCAAAATCACTGCTAGATCAAAGACTAACACGTTTAATTTATATCCCCAAAATTTAAAAGGCAGGAGTGACACAAAAGCCTCATATTTTTATGTAAATTAAGTATTTACATAAATTCTTATTTTAATTTTAAAAAGCCTCTTTAAGGAGAATGTGCAGGTTTTGTTTTAACGTGACAGAAATCGTGCTGAAACCCATCTGAGATTTTAAAGTTTAGGGTTATTAATCCTATAAATTATCCTTCCAGTGATCTCTACGGGGTGTCCTGGGTCTGGCCCCGGGCCTCCACTCAGTTGCACATGCCTGAAATACCTCACCTAGGAGTTGCCCAGGAGCACATTGAGACTTATGAAAGGGATAAATCCAAAAGAATAAAAGTTATGTGGTCATGAGACCAAAGGGCAGGCCGAGCATTTTAAAGATTTTGTGAATCTAAATGCAACTCTATGTGCCACGATGATGAGAAAAGCCCCACATGCTGGTAGAAAAGTAGCTCAGATCTGCAGTGAGTCAAAAGTGCACTTCAGTATCCCGAAGAAGGAAGGGTTTGTGTTAAAGGTTTTCCACTGTGGTCTGGGAGCGCTCAAACTGGTAAAATACAGGATATAATCAAGCCAAAGCCTCAAGGTGCAAACGTCTTACATAAAAGGAAGGAAAGGAAGATGATTCACAGCTTAAGGGTGCAGGACAGTTAACATTAATGTGGCATAGCGTGAGGCCTTCCCGGTACTTTTTGCTTTGGTGTCAAAAGGTGTTAAATATCCAGCCAAACTCAGTGCTGCCTCAGGGACTGTGAAACTAATTCACAAATGTATGAAAGCTTTAGTGTAAGGCACACTTCACGACTATCATCCATAGAGCATATACATATGAGAAGACTGAGTATATTTTTGTGTGGATTTCAGTGTTTCCCAGCCTCTTCTGTGTGCATGCGTGTGTGTTTTCCCCTGCAGCCACAGCTCTTCATCCTGACAGACAAAACACCGAGAGTCTCGTGATCAAAGAGCAGAGGAATGCTGCTGGAGGATCACACGCTGCCTCGGTGTATCACATAATCACTGACACACAGCGAGAGGAGGGATGCAGGCTTAAACTGAAACACAGCAGCCGTGTAGATTACACTGCGGCTGGATGATCCGAACCACACAGCAAGGTTAACGCAGGTCAGGCTGGGAAGGGACATGAAGGGAAGACACTAAAAACGGAGACACTTTTGCTTATTTGCTTCAAGTTCAGACTATGCTAGTTGTAGCTAAACAGTGTTCTATGGTACTCTACGTGGTATTGAGTACCATGGTATTCAAATACACATCTCATTGTACTGACTCCAGCAAATATAACATGTATTTTTCAAGGAAATCTCCTCAGAGCTGTCAAGTAGTGCCATCTTTCATCCAGTTAATTACTCAGTTTTCATCAAATATCTGCAAAAATGACATTCCCATCAGCTTCAGGCACCTTCAGTAAAATCACAAGCTTAGTCTAACTTTTCAGTTCAATTAAAGACCAATAGTTGTTGCCACCTTCATTACAGCTGGATGGTGGGTGACTGGACCTGTTGACTATTTTTGCATTTTCTGGAGGTATTATTAATTGAATTATCTGAGAAAGAACATGGACTGCGCGTAACAACATCCATCTTTTTATACAGTCTGTGCATGTGAACTGTGCAATAGCTTAAAAACCACACAGCTGCTCTCTGACGATATGAACTCTTCCTTACACGTAAGCACTAAGTGAGCATTAATACAGCACAAATCACAACATTTTCATGCTGCTGGCAGCTGTAATAGCATTGGTTCAATCACAGGAAACAGAGCTTTCATAAAAAATAATATTTTTGAGCTGGATATTAAATTAAATTACTTCACATCTAACACGATAAGGAAAAACAGAAGGTCTAAAAGCCAGACTTCGGAAAGAAGCCGCTTTTCAGCAGCAGCAGCATAATAAGAGATCTGTGAGAGTCACAAGTCCAACACGCACACACACACAGTTTAATTCAATAGGAGGAGATTCATCGGTACGATAAGAAGTTCTGACTTTGCCAACACAATCTTTCTCCTGCTTTTTCACCATCCCTCCTTCCCACAGACGTCAGAAGGCACTCAGATTAAAATAATAACCTCCACTCAGACTTTTCATATAAATAAATGAACGAATATAATCTTGCATTCATTGTTTAGTTTTAGAACTTGTCTATATTCAGGGTTTTTTTAAATGATCACACTAACAACGACGCTTCTGTTTACTTTAAATGCCTTTTTCTCTTCTTTTCCCCACTTTCTCTGTCTGTTGTTTTAATCTGAGTTTGGTCGATTAACAGCATATCTTCCTTTTTGCTGGCAGGAGGGTCACCGTGCCGCTGCTCTGTGTGGCCTCTATGAATGCTGAATGTGGGTCATTTACAGTGCACTCTCCTCTCGGCCCGTTGGTATCTTGGTTTGAGATCGTTCGCCTGGATAAGGACAGATAAGCGCAAACAAACACACACCAACACACTCAGGAGTCTGACGTTGAGTTCCACCCTGATGCAGATCTGTGTTTTCCTTTGAAACGCCCACAAACTGAGCAGAAAAATTACTTCCAATGGGCTTCGGTTTACCCCTTGATGCTCTGCCCCTGACTTCTGCGCACACGCACAAGATAAAACTGGGGTTTATTTTGTGATAAAATAGCTGCGGGCCTCTCTTAATAGAGTGTTGGGCTTGGGTTGGGTTCATTCTAGGCTGACACTATCAAACGTTGGTAATTCTGTAGTTTTTTTGTACCTCTCCACTGGATGAACGTTAAAACATCAGCTTCATCTTCAAGAGAAGATAAAGAAATCTGCTGGGAAGCCGACTTTTTGGACACTTCCAATTCTAACAACCTTGTTCCCGAGTTAAAACATCCTGGCACCGTATTAAAAGCTGCAGGCTCAAACTTATAAACCAGTGGGAACCACTTTAATGTAATTTCTAAATACACAGGTGAGTTAAAGAGAGTGCTGTAGAGAGAAGAGATGAGGATAAAAGGTCAAAGTCTACAGCCACGTAAAGTGGTCACAGAGTACAGTTGGTAATGCAGAGAGGACCCAATGGTTCGAAGTTTAGAGAAAAGAATAAGAAAAGTGAGACATTTAATGGCTGATTTAAAGCCTGTGTTCAAAAGCATGAAACCCAAAACATGATGAGTATATTTATTGTTAGATCTAAATTATTTGGTAAAACAGAAATCCAGACATAGAAAAAAGGCTGAGAATCACCCACAAAAACACAGGAGCAAAGGGAGGCTGTAAAGAGGGACACGAACATACACAAGAAGGAGTGATAAGGAAGAAGATGACCTATTTATACACTGCAGGCAGACTGAGGGACAAACAGAGGACTGAGACACTGAGACACACAGGAAGGTGCAGCCAAACACTGAATGAAGCAATAATCACAACACCAGTGACATGTTAGCTCACCGGGCTCACTACAAGTCACGGTTCACAGGTTAACAAACGTGAGCAGAACTTAGGTTAAGATAGATTTTCGTGCATTTGTGTGCGTGTCTGTTTAGATGAATGTGTGTGTATGCTCGAGCATGTACACTTATTTTTAACCCATGACTTGTATTCAAACTGTGAAGCAGGTAACTGTGTGTTTTGAAAAGTGTCATACAAATAAAGTGATTCTTATTATTCTGGCACCAATCACCCATGATGCTCGTCTCCACCCTGCCTTCACTTTCTTCTTTACCTGTCTTGTGTACTTGTCTGCTTGGATGCCCGACAAAAGAAAGAATCCCAAAACTGACATTAAACACGTAAGCAGAAGCAGCACATAGAGAGGCACGCTGAGCTCTTGCTTTGTATTCAAATAATAGCTTGAAAAGGGAAAAAAGGTCAGTGCTCTGTTAGTCGCAAACATAACATGGGGTAACAGGAGGATGGATTCACTGTCAAAACAAGTTTTATCTGCAGGATAAGAGAAAAAGCAAACCACAAGCAGCATCCTTTGGTGGCTGTGTCAATAACAGAGTTTGAATGGGTTGTGGTTAATGTCCCGTCACGTTTTCATTTTTATTTTCTCTTGCTGTGGGTTAGATTTTCATGACCTGGTTCGGTA